CTCATCATGGGAAATTGGATTAGGAGTGGATCTTTTCTACCTATTTCTCCCTTAATTTGCTTGGATGCCAAGTCGCCTCTTTCCTAACCCTCCAACAGCATGCAGCCATTTCCTGAGCACACAGTAAGCCCTAATAAATACTTTGAAAGTTAGACCAGTGGTATACATGAGCTTTAAGATAAGAACAAATTCTAAATCTCCACAGAAACATCTTAATGTGGAAGATAAGGCAAGAATCTTTCCCTATTCTACATGGCTTTAAAAAAATTACAGGTTGTTTTACTGTAAAATGTCAATTAGGTAGTGAAGGCTTTAAGTCCAGAGTTGGGTTGCAGGCAGGGGACTTGAAAGCCTCACAAAGCTACACATAATATTGTTACTGCAAGGAAACATTTCTCACTCTTATTAGGGAATGGAAAGTTCAAATAGAAGCCTAGACAGAACAGTCAGATGAAAGAGTGACTAGAGATTGTTAGCACAAGCATTATTTCATTGTAATAATCAAGAAGTTTAGCTTTTAATCGTCAAAAAATGTTATTTCAATTACTACAAAATATGTGCCACTTTTTAAAAGATGAATTTGTAAGGCTGCACAGTGCTACAAATCACAATAGACACCTCTGACATAGTTGAGAATGAAATTGCATGGTTTAATAGGAAATTTTGCAAAAGAAAAAGCAGCATCAAATACAGAAAAATGTGGACTAACATCAACCAAGAAGCAACCAGTGCTTTTCAAGATTCTTAACAGATACTCAACTTCTGCATGATTGCAACTATCCCATCATCAATGCTAAATTGCATTGTATTAACACCAAAATGCAATACATGCATCAAACTTCAAATCCAATACATTGGGAAGCAAATACTTATATATGCTTCACCAACTATAATTTTAATTTCTTAAAATTCTGCAACTTTTAAATAAACAGTAGCAGCAGAGATAAAAGCTTACATGAATAGACCTCAGTCAAGACCATCATTAGTTTCCCTTAATAACACAGTACAATAGCAAATGCTATGTCACTTTCAGAGCAGATAAATCCACATACCATTTAAGAAGATTGATTACACATGTGCGTATACATGTCGGAAATACATTATATTCTCAGCACTCATGTAAAGAAAGAAAAAGGGATCATTCCTAAAGAAATAATAACTTGTGATTTGCTAATAGTTATTTGTAATTTTATTTTACAATAGTCTTACTTATCAGTTTACTTAAAACAATGCAACAATTTTCCTTTCATCCAGTCCAATCTTCATACTTTTAACAGTTTTACAATAGGTCGGAAACATGACCTGCTTTTTCAACCATTATATCCCCCAGACATGACTAATTTGAAGCTGGGAAAATTGCACATAATGGGCCAGGGATTCAAGTTCATGATTTTTAGTCAGTTGCACTCTTGTTTTAGGGCACATGTTCTCCTTCCCCTCTCCTCTCCCACCACCCCTAAGCTCCCTCTCCATGAACTAAATTCACCAAACATGAAAGCAAAAGAAACTTATTTTTAAAATTTCTGCAGGCTTATTTTTGAGGAGGATAAAGATTAAGCTACATTTTTAAACATATTTTATTTTCCTTCAGGGGTTCTTAAATTTTTTAATGAATTTCAAACACTAAAGAAGCTAACCACTGAATAAGCCTTCAAATACATAAGAAAACAATCAAATGCCTAATTTTACCAAAGCCTGATATGAATCACTGAATTTATTCATACCCCAAGTTTGATCATATGAAATATTGTTTTCCAAGCCTTTTTGCAAAATCCCATTGAAGGTTTCTCAGTGTATAGACACTAGCACAAGAAAAATAAGCACATAAAGCAAGCAACAAACTTGGTAGAAGGCCAGTGGCATAAGAAAGTATTTGAGTTGACTAAACCAAAACTCAGTCTCTCCTACTTGTTTTTATGGCTAATGCTTAAAATTTCCCTATTAATTCTATAAGGCTGCAGACAAACATCAGTCCAAATGTCTGAGTACTCTTTCAGTACTGAAACAGAAAGAGATCCTAAACTCTTTCATCTACCAGTGAGGAGATTGGTGTGTGGTTAACTAACTTGCCTGGTCACTTTGAGGCTCCTGGGTTATCACTGTTGCTTGGGATGGGGTGGGAGGTGTTTAATTTTGCCCTGTGTACATGTTTGGGGTACTTCTACTATTTCAGTAAGGAGCTTGCCATTTACATCCTCCCTTCCCAAGCTGGCATGTTTCCGTTCATCAGGAAAAACACTGACAGAAAAGAAACATATTGTGGTCATTTCAAAATGAAATTTTCCTTTTCTCACTTTGGCCTACCGGGGATGTGTTAGAAAGACAGTTCTCACCCAGGACACCAAACTTCTTGTAAATAGAGTGACATTGAGCAGCAGAGTTCTTTCTCACTGGAGAGGGCAATGGAGGTGGCTTCTCTGAACGTTACCATGACTTTCCAGCCTACAAACAGTTTAGACTTCTAATTCTTGCCTATTTTCCTTAAATTCTATTATTTGATCAGTTTCTTCTACTTTCCAGTTTAGGGAAGTTGGGTGGGGAAGCCCAACTTACCTTTTGTTAATATTGGGAATCTTATAGCATGAGCAGGTACTGACATTTGTTTGCTAAGAGCAAAGAAATTACTCTTCAAGTGGAAGAGGTAAAAACTAAGGGACAGTCATTGTGGGCTGGACCTAATTTCTTCAGTCTTGGGACTGGAACTGGGGACAGTCTTTGCAGCAAACTTATAAAACCAAGAAGTGTTATCCATGGATGTTTTTCTATTTCAAGAAAAGTTGGAGCTAAACCAGTTTATTGATTGAGGGGAATCTAGTTAGTTAGGACCTGCCACTGACTTTCTGAGTTGTCCAATATGGTCACCAGCTAAATCCAATAGAGAAAACAACAGTTGGTACTATTTAGTCCCATAAACCTTGCTTCAAACCAACAACTGCTTTGACCTTATGGCAATGTTAATGTCCAGCAACTCCTGCTAGATACACTTGGACCTTCTCTACAGTTGTAAGATTCCAGAACTCACACTTGCAGAAGTGCCCTAGGAAGCCTACAGCATGAATAAAGAGTTGTCCAAGTCCAGGAGATCAGCTTTAGAAAAAGAAAAAGAGACACACACCAACAAACACCAGGAAACCATGTGTAATGTTCGCTGCTTGTGCAAAAACCTCAAAGAGGATGAAGGTCAGACAGGGATAATAGGCCAATTTAATTCTGAAAGCACAAGGTGCAAGAAATTTTAATTATGGTCCGCCACTGAAATCACACAAGATCCGATGGCATCTAACTGCAACTGCTCATCAAGGGATACAGAGGTGTAATTGTAACCGCTGCATAATCACCGCGAGGGCACAGAGAGGCTGCTTCAGCTCCCAGCAGAGAAGGTATTAAGAGCCTCGAAAAATCCAATACAGGGAAAATGGAGTGAAACAGGAGCTCAGAACACAAAAGCCAAACCCGTGTGTGTGTGTGTGTGTGTGTGTGTGTGTGTGTCCCACACCGAGGACAGCAGGTGGAAAACTCTGATTCCTCTGCTTTGTGGATACACGCACACAGAAAAGCCCATCTCCTCCAAAAACTCCCCTCTTAGAAGAACCTTCGCCCTTCTCCTTTGTTTAAAACAATTAGCTTCGATATTGCAGTGACTTACAGCACTAGAATCCCGGTAATTTGTTCCTATCCAAGCCCAGGTCTGGAGACAAAACGCCCAGCGCGGGACTCGAGGTGCCCAAGTCAGGGCTGCTTTGCCTGCGGTGCCGCCCGCGCCCGGAGCGGTTCTTCAGCAGCCGATGCCGCGCGGGCTGCCTGCAGAGGGACGCGCAGAGAAAACCCCTGCGTGGACTCTCCCCACTCCGCAAAGTTTAACAAAGCCCCAAAGTAAGGGAGCCGAACCTCCCATCTGCTCCAGCTGCAAAGTTGGCACAGAAGTTTGTGCCGGGATGTCCCAAATCGGGAGGGGGAAGGGGCCAAGAGTTTGCGGCGGGGGTGGGGGGGGGGTGGGGAATCATCAGAGACAGTGAGAGGAATTGAGTTTTTCCAAGTAGCCGGTGCGTGAAGCCAAAGCCAGAGTGGCTCGGAAAGGTCGGGGAGGTGCACACCACGGGAGGTCTCCCAAGGCGAGCGCCGTCGCCGGGGGACATGAGAGCTGTCACCTGCGGGGAGCGGTGGCGGGAGCAGGGGACGCCCTCCTCGGCGCCAGGGGAGGAACACAGGCTCCAGTCTCACCGGCTTTAAGGGATCTAAGAAGTGGGGGAGGGGAGATTCCCGAGGGTGCCGGAGGCCCAAAGCTACACCTTTCGGATACGCTTTTCCCTGGCGACCTCTCCAACTTCCCGCAGGGCAGGCCAAGACTCTGTCCCAACCCACCCATCCCATCCTACCTCCCAGCCCACGGCTCGGACCTGTCCACCCCGGAAGGTGGGTGGGGGTACGGCGAGAAAGCCAAGGGCACAAAGGTTGGGACCCCCCCCGCCAAATACAAGCCCTCACCCCTTAACCGACACAACCAAATGCATTTCCACATGCAACGCCCATAGCCTTGTAACAGAGCTCTGGGTTTGCGCTGGGCGCAGCTCCCCGACTCTTCTGTTGTTCCTAATAAAGTCGATTACGTGCCTCCCGGAGCTGATTGGAAGGGAACGGAGAGGAAAAGGGGGGAACGCGGGAAAAAGCTGGGTGGGGGGGAAGCAATCAAGTTTGTAACCCAGCGCTTCCTCGTGCGATCCGTCGCCATGCTTAAGATTCCCACCCCCGCCACCCCCCTCCTGCCTTTCAAGTGGAAACTGAAACTAGGCCAAAACTTTTTCCCCTCCTTTTCTCCTAGCCACTAGACTGGATTGTGCCCCACGGAGCCCCATGGAGCTCTGCTTTCTTAAGCACAATAGCCGGACTAATTAGATCATAGAAGCAAGGCAGTGATACTGTAACAAGTAGCCCAAGAGGCAAAGAGGGAAGGGGCCCGAAAAGAGAGAAAGGGGGGGAAAGTTTGCAGCTTTCGCACTTACCAATCAAGCCTCCCACCAGAAAGGCGATGATTTGGAACACCAACAGAATCGCACCAACAATGCACAGCTTCTTGGTACTCATGTTTTCTATAATTGCCCCAGCCATTTTTGCGCGCCCCCCCCCTCTTTTTCTTTTCTCCTATAAATAAATGTTTTAGGGTGTGCTTTTTGCTCCCTCCCCTCTCACACTTCCTCCTCCTTTGCCTTCTTTCTGGGCGCTGCAAAACTTCAGGGGTGCGGGAGCGCAGCGAGGATGGGACCCGGACCGAAGGCGCCGGCACGGATTCCCCCGGCGCAGCCGGCTCGGGCTCCCCCAATGCCCGGAGCTGTGACTGTGGCCGCTCCGCCGCCTGTGGACGCTTAAAGGAGAAGGGAAGCGGATCACATGACGCCGCCTCCCTCCCTTTCTTCCTCCCTCCCTCTCGCGCTTCCTCCCTCCCTCCCTACCTCTCTCTTCCTCTACCCCTTGCCCGCCAGTTTGGAGATCGGAGCTCCAGCCAGCTCTGGCGACCTGCTCCCACGTCTGGCCTGCAGCCTGTCCCGCCAGAAGCTGGTATCGTTGGGTGAAATTGTCGTTGTTGATAGATGAGTTCCCAATACTCAGCCTCTCACACATTTCCTTTGCTGACGCCTGAAGTGTGGGATTTAAATCATCCCTAGACTGCTTTGCAAACCTGTAACTTACGCGTTGACTTCAGGGAATGATTCCCACTCCCAACTGCTAGAGCTCTCTTTAGGAAAGAGGAAAAGATTTTTTTTTTTTTAATTAAAGGAATCCAACAGACGTTAAGTCAAAGTACAAAGATGCGAGAAAAAGTCTCAGTTGAGCTTCCTTCTGCCTGGTTCCAGTCTCAGTTTGGGACATTTCCCAGCTAAATCCCTCACAGAGCCCCTGGAGCAACCGTGCGCTCCAGCCAAATCCAACCAGTGTTCCTTACTCCACCCCGTGGGCCTCCAGAGCTCGGTTCTGGTTATTGCCTTAAAGAAAACACTCTATCACTCTACCTATTAAGGTTGATTCAAAACCAATTCATCTTTAAAAAAAAAAAAACTTTAAAATTTTCAAAAACCATCTCCATGTATCTTCTTTGGGAGGTCCTACAATCCTGTGTTTACATGTCCACCTCCTTTTATAAGGACTTGTACACATTTATTTCCACCACTGAGCTGTAAATTCCTGGGGAATATCTTTATACCCCACCATGGTGCCTAACAAAATTCTAACTCTCCTATATCATCGTGTGGGGAATGGACTGAGTTCAAGCTCACAGTTTGCATTTCAAAAGACTAAAGGATCTTAGTTGACTTAGAAGGTACACAAATTAAGTTGCAATGTTTGTTGTCTCTTTGTGAAGATGTATTTGTATTTATTCATGGGGGTGAACGGTAGTCTTAAGAGATTTCTTGTTCTATCAAGCCTAAATTCCTGGGCCTGGTTTTTCCATGTTTCATAAACTGTCCTCTTGGCCAATACAACTCCCTACCCAGTAGTCCCAACTCAGAGTTTCCACTACTACCCACTCACCTGATTTTTAGCCCTCCATTCCATCCAATCCCTCTGTGACTGTTTCAAGTATGCTCTCTTCCTCTACTCTGCTCCTGAACTTTCATTCTCCTTATAAAGAGTGCCGTGCAGGTCACATTTCTAAGACATGATCCTTTCCATTTCCCAACTAGACTAGACACTCCTTAAGACAAGTACCAAATTGCCTGTGATAAAGAACTTTATCTCCTTGGTCTTTAGCCGGTCCTAACAGTTCTGGAGCTATAGCTTTTAACTCATTCTTTCACTCAACACCTTATCCAACAGTCACTTATTGAGTCCTTAATATGTTCCAGGCTTTCTTTCCTAAGTACTTGAAGACATCGAAGTGCCAAGACCCTGTCCTGAAGAAGCCCCAGACTACTTGGTATCCTCTGTATAGGGCTTAGTTGCCTGTGCTTTGGCCAGTACGGGAACTTCAGAAGAGAAGAACCAGGCAGAATTGTCAAACAACAGTGGGTAGAAGTGTTTAGTTGCTCCCCAAACAGAAATTGACCTTTGCAGATCATTTTACCTATTCAGAAGCTTATGACATGTGTGTGTGTGTGTGTGTGTGTCCATGTGTACTGACAGAGGTAGGTTACAGGGCACATTAAACAGAAATGCAATGTGCTCTTACCTATGAGGCTGGTTAACTCTGCACTCTGTGTTCTTATCTCACCAAGCTGCTGGTTTTCACATAGTTGAATAATAATGAAGCCTTTGGGTTAGAACTTGTTTTCACTACACTGGATTTTATTGTAAGGTTGAAGGGCTGAGGTTCTAGCTCAGTGGGGAGCTTGGGCTTTGGTATGCATGAGGCCTTGGGTTTGATCCCCAGCATGAGGGGATCAATGTCAAGATTTGCTCTCCATTTCACACCACAGTTCATGATTTAAGAAGAGATAGTGTCTTGCACAGTTCAAGCAAGAATTGAATCCACAAGAAATGTCTTAGGTAGTTGAATTTTATTTTTCAAAAATTGTTTTATTGGCATATATTAATTGTACAAAACAACAGGCGTCATTACATTTTCATACCTGTATTTGATGTGCTTTGATCATATTCTTCCCCCTCACTCTCTTTAGTCCCCTTCCTCCTGCAGCTCCCCCTCCCCTTAAATGTGTCCTTCTTAGTAGTTTAATTTGTTTAAGATTAGTGAACACCTCACAACTAATTTTTTTTCTTTTTCTTTCTTGGCAGCACTGAGGGCTTGAACTCAGGGTCTCGCACTTGCTAGGCAAGTTTTCTACCAGTTGAGCCATGTCTCCAACCCTCAACTGATTTTTCTGTCAACTGCTAAAACACATCCACCCTCTCTGCTCCTAAATGCATCTCTGTGAAGGAACTGGCCTGGCCTCATAAAGTCTAGCTTTCTTATCCATAAATAAGAGGCTTGGAACAAAATACTGGTTCCCCAACAAGACGATCCCTTACTTTAAAAGGGCAATATTCTGTTTAATATTTTACTAAACAGTTATTTCTAGTTGTTAATTGGTGCTCTGACTTTCATAAGATCATCAATATTGCCAAAATAAGTAGGGTGCAGAAACCTCAGAAAATGACACCCTAAAGTTTGGCACTTTGGCATGCTGAGAACTTTGAACTAAGGAACATTGGAAGGTTCAGAAGCAGCCGCAAAGCCCTGTGCTCTCAGAACCTCTTCTGCCCTCTTGTCTTATCTCCTTCATTCTCCCCCAAAGCAACAGAAACCTAAATTCCTCTTCCCCAAAATGGGTTATAGAAACTGAAACCCTTCTTCCCCAAAGTCAACCATGAAGCCTAAAAATATTACTGAGGCTTTCTCCTGCCTTTCTGTGTAGCAGTGGGGCAAAGTAATTCCAGAGGAGCCTTGCTCCATGGGTGGGAGGTAGTTGTTACAACTGAGGAACCACCCCATCTCTTTCCATTATCTCATTATGTCTTTTTGCCCAATCACCTTTCTATATAGATGTCCCTGCTTCATCAAACCTCAGCATAAAATTAGGTAGCTTCTCCTGTATCTTTGGTCTTACATCTGAAGGATCCCGTCATGTACAACTTTGATTAAATAACTTTGTTATGCTTTTCTCTTGTTGACTTGTCTTTTGTTTTAGGGGTGTCAGCCATGACCCTTGATGATGGGCAAGGAAAGATAGCACGTTTTCCCACCCCTACAATCACCTTGGGATGTTTTAAAAAATTGCAATTTCTGTTATATTTTTGTAAATATTAAAAGAGACTGTTAAATCTTCATTTCCCAGGAGGACAACACCAAGGAATAGCAAAGACCCAGTATTTGGATCTTGGATGGGGTCCAAACCCTTGTCCCTTGCTTTGCATGACCATGGTCCATTACACAGTAACTTGCCCACTCTGAGGTTCAGTGTTCTCATCTATAAAAGGGAAATGATAATACTACCTACCTCATAGTATTCCTGCAAGATATGAATGTTTAGCATTTTTATTAGATTTGCAAAGCATCAAGAAAATCAATGTGTTAGAAATGGGTAAAATTGATCACTGATTAGTTCTTTCTCAACTCTAAAATTTTATCATGTTATAAATACTTTTTGAAGCATGTTTTATCTTGGGGGGGTTAACTCTACTTGACAAGGGTAATAATATAGAGAACTATGAACAATACTTGTAAATTTTGACCTAAAAACATCCTGTTCTAAAAAACTGCCCTCAATAACCAAGGAAATGCCTATATTGAGTCATCAGATAGGTTATTCCTGAGATAAAACGACCCAAGGGTAAAATCCAATTCAGTCATCAGAAACTGATTATCTAATTCCATTTCACTAGACTGCAAATTGATATCCTTATTTATTCACCATTTTCTTCTTCTAAGTGGCATACGGAAAGTCATAATGATGTTCAAGGAATGAATGGATTCATACCCACTTAAAGAGAATTCCTCCCTCACCTCCCAGGTCCTGTATGGAATTGACTGCCTATTTTCTTATCCGTATACTAGGCTGAATTTTGCCATATATCTGTATTAGTGGTGTGTTGTCATCCCAACTGGCTTGCAAAGTTCTTTAACACAGGGAGAGTGTCACCTGAGCCATTGTGTCTCTCACAGCTCCAGCATAGCACCTTGCAAAGAGGAGGGCTCAGGTCCTGGAACTGAGAAAGCCTCTATTAGGAGTCAAGAGCAATGTATTATTATTGTAATCACAGTAAATGTAATGCAGAGATCTAAAAAAATTGAATACACCTTCTTAAAACACCTAATTTACTTCCCAGAGCGACCTAGCAAGAGCAGTAATCCCACTCTGAGGCTTCTTATTCTCATAAATAGCTTTTATCCATAAATGGCATCCCCGTGGCTCTGTGGTTGTTGGTATTTTCTGTTAGTGCTTGTGAATATGTCAGCTCACACTCTATTATTCAGTGTCATTTCCCACTACATACATGTGCATGTGTGTTTTCATTCCACCTCCTCCCCTTCTTTCTTTCTGGGTTTCACTGTCTTATTTTGTATGAAAATACAAGACTTTTCCTAGTACCTTCTTTCACACACTAACTAACCTTAGATAGGAACTAGTCAAATCCCAGGACTGGGACAACCAATACTTCAACCTGATCTTTAGATGAAATTATTTAATAAATATCTCAGTACCTCTTCCTTTTTAGACATCATCTTACCCTGAAGATCTCCATTTCACTTTTTCTGTCTCATTCCACACATTTCAAACATTTGGCTTACTCAATCTCAGATCTGTCTTCCTGGTTGTGTAAATAACCTTGGGAAAATTACTTAGCTTTGGAATCTTCCTTTTCTCATTTCTTTAAAAGAATAAAGATAATCCAGATTCATAGGTTATACTGAGCTGATATGCATAGTGCCTAAGACAGAGTGGACACTCAACAAATATTGCAGATATTATAAGGGAGGAGGCTT